CAGTTGTTCATAGGGGCAGGTCAGTGCGATTCAGCTAAATGCTAGTCAGCATTCAAAAAAGACACGCATATTAGCCATCACACCACTCCGCGTCCCAACTCCACAACTAAAACCACCATCAAAACGACACACTCTCTCTCTCATACACACACACACACACATACATGCATACATCAGCTCGACAAACAACTCGCACATTACTCTCTGGCAAAATGAACCCTATTCATAGTCACCTTGCCATTACAATTTGGCATCACTCTGGAGCTCAGACCCCCCCATCGAGCAGAGCACTTTATGATGCTTAACAACAAACAACCATAGTTATTCTCACCACTCACGTCGCCAACTCTCTCCCTCTACAAAACACTAACAACACCAACAAACGATTGCATCGTCACCACAGAATTACTCTTTCTTGTTACAAACATCACAAACCTCACCACCAACGAACACTTATACACACACACACACACACACTGTGATCAATACTTCGGCATACAACACACGATCATATTCACATCTGTCTAACTAACGATTTTGATACTGTCGCGAAATCACACTATCGTCTACATTCGCAACTTCAATTTACCATCGTTCGGAGCACAGTCAATTGCGTCACATTGAATGGGTGCTGGTCACGATGATCATCATCATCATCATCATCATCATCATCATCATTCACTGATCATCACAAACCACACACAACACCACCAACTAATCACACCCGTTATCAGTTGAAACACCAACACTGACAGTATTGTTAACAGAATAAATAATCCAATTTCACTACTCACCCCAGAACAGATCGATCCAACATTAATCGGTTCAACCAACTCTATTCACACCGAGTTAGTTGCTTCACGTAGAAAAACACAACACCACCTCACTTCATTTCATCTGGCACACACACACACGCGCGCGTTTTGGTCGTTCTTCCATCACACTTATACACATCCATAACCGCTATCCAAAAGTAACCGGCCAATCCCAATCACACATATTCATCCCATCACTACGTAAGAACACAGTATTTATCGCCCGTGCCCAAAATCCGGAACCACCCAGACCTCATGAGCAACGCGCGAAACAATTTCGCATTTCTCCCTTGAGACTAAAGCACATACGAGCTGCTTCATCTCTACACAGAAATGCCAGCATTATCACCACCATCACAAACAATCACCTCAACACACTCTTCACATATAAACTAAACCAACAACATTTACACCCACACACTCCAACACACAAAATATTCCGCCTCATTCAAACCAATATCGCACACCAATCCAACAACACTCAATATTTCCACTCCACAAATTCTATCATTTTCAGCTTCATCACAACTACTACGACCAACGGCACCATCACTCAGCACGATCAAGCGCAACAATCCCAAACGTCATCAAGCACACAAGCATCTACTCCATCAATTATGCAAAGTCATATCCAGGTACGTACATACACACACACATATATATATATATGTATATATATACTATTACAAATTTAGCATGGATCCTGTTGCCTGTTTCAATTGCATCGGAAACAGCCAGTACATCACATGCATCTCTCAATCTCGGATGTGCTTCAAAGCAAACCTGAACACAGATTTGCAAGCGACCACATCCACACTCAACCGCCACCTCACTCACTCCTCCATTCACCATCATTTATAAATATTTATATATAAGTGCACACATATGTACATGCACACATTACACAGTAATCATCACCTTCACCGACGACAACAACAACACTCGCAGTTAACACAAATCAAACTACCAATCATCAGCACACTCAACTAATTCATACAACACAACATAGCTCAACATCACAGACCACTTCTTCACGTATACAATCATCCATGCATGTGGCTAGTGTGAAATACTACAGCACGTCATGTACAGTAGTTGGTGAACTAGCTTCAATTTCGGATACCTTAAGCATACTTGGTGCACAGAATCACCAAATACAACTCGGCATCCACTCCACAATACACCTCCATCACACACATACTCCAAAACTCAGTCACTCTTCAAGCACAAACGACAACAACATACTAACAATATCCTCTACGACCACATCCCCGTCAAACAAAACACACCTCCACAACATCATTACATGTTATCAAACCAACCGCCACCGTCACATTATCCCTTCCTAATACCAACAACTAACAACCTCACACACACAACCATCCAAAATACAGACACTAGCCGATAACTCAATCTCCAGAGACACAAAACACACTCCAATCACTTACCGATCAGTTGTTCATAGGGGCAGGTCAGTGCGATTCAGCTAAATGCTAGTCAGCATTCAAAAAAGACACGCATATTAGCCATCACACCACTCCGCGTCCCAACTCCACAACTAAAACCACCATCAAAACGACACACTCTCTCTCTCATACACACACACACACATACATGCATACATCAGCTCGACAAACAACTCGCACATTACTCTCTGGCAAAATGAACCCTATTCATAGTCACCTTGCCATTACAATTTGGCATCACTCTGGAGCTCAGACCCCCCCCATCGAGCAGAGCACTTTATGATGCTTAACAACAAACAACCATAGTTATTCTCACCACTCACGTCGCCAACTCTCTCCCTCTACAAAGCACTAACAACACCAACAAACGATTGCATCGTCACCACAGAATTACTCTTTCTTGTTACAAACATCACAAACCTCACCACCAACGAACACTTATACACACACACACACACACACACACACTGTGATCAATACTTCGGCATACAACACACGATCATATTCACATCTGTCTAACTAACGATTTTGATACTGTCGCGAAATCACACTATCGTCTACATTCGCAACTTCAATTTACCATCGTTCGGAGCCCAGTCAATTGCGTCACATTGAATGGGTGCTGGTCACGATGATCATCATCATCATCATCATCATCATTCACTGATCATCACAAACCACACACAACACCACCAACTAATCACACCCGTTATCAGTTGAAACACCAACACTGACAGTATTGTTAACAGAATAAATAATCCAATTTCACTACTCACCCCAGAACAGATCGATCCAACATTAATCGGTTCAACCAACTCTATTCACACCGAGTTAGTTGCTTCACGTAGAAAAACACAACACCACCTCACTTCATTTCATCTGGCACACACACACACGCGCGCGTTTTGGTCGTTCTTCCATCACACTTATACACATCCATAACCGCTATCCAAAAGTAACCGGCCAATCCCAATCACACATATTCATCCCATCACTACGTAAGAACACAGTATTTATCGCCCGTGCCCAAAATCCGGAACCACCCAGACCTCATGAGCAACGCGCGAAACAATTTCGCATTTCTCCCTTGAGACTAAAGCACATACGAGCTGCTTCATCTCTACACAGAAATGCCAGCATTATCACCACCATCACAAACAATCACCTCAACACACTCTTCACATATAAACTAAACCAACAACATTTACACCCACACACTCCAACACACAAAATATTCCGCCTCATTCAAACCAATATCGCACACCAATCCAACAACACTCAATATTTCCACTCCACAAATTCTATCATTTTCAGCTTCATCACAACTACTACGACCAACGGCACCATCACTCAGCACGATCAAGCGCAACAATCCCAAACGTCATCAAGCACACAAGCATCTACTCCATCAATTATGCAAAGTCATATCCAGGTACGTACATACACACACACACACACATATATATATATATATATATATACTATTACAAATTTAGCATGGATCCTGTTGCCTGTTTCAATTGCATCGGAAACAGCCAGTACATCACATGCATCTCTCAATCTCGGATGTGCTTCAAAGCAAACCTGAACACAGATTTGCAAGCGACCACATCCACACTCAACCGCCACCTCACTCACTCCTCCATTCACCATCATTTATAAATATTTATATATAAGTGCACACATATGTACATGCACACATTACACAGTAATCATCACCTTCACCGACGACAACAACAACACTCGCAGTTAACACAAATCAAACTACCAATCATCAGCACACTCAACTAATTCATACAACACAACATAGCTCAACATCACAGACCACTTCTTCACGTATACAATCATCCATGCATGTGGCTAGTGTGAAATACTACAGCATGTCATTTATAGTAGGTGGCGATATATGCAGTGTCTAATAATGTGCAAATTTTCTAGGGATTTCAAATTTTTATGGTGGTGTAGTTAATGATGTATAATGTTGAGTTGTGGTTAAGGTGACTTCGACTGTCTGTGTTCCTTAGTCTTTTTTTCTTAACGTATGAAGTAGTATGCTGGAGAATTGTAAATACATTGGTTGACATTTAACTTTGGAGGCTATTCTGGAGACATATTACTAGAATGAACTGGAATACAAATCTGTGTTTCTATGTATGTGTGTTATCCTCGACTATGATTGGTCATTCGATTTTGGAGGTTGTTTGACCTCTGATTGGGTTATTGAACTATTGGCCCTCAATTCCAGTCCACTACTCTGTCAATAGATTTAGGTCCTCCTGTGACCCTAACATCTAGTCATTCTCGGAGATCATTATTCAAAGCCCTAGTACAGCCAAGTGTTGAGACTCAGCTCTCCTTCTTGAAATGCTGTCACATGGCCACGCGTATTCAGCCGCTACGTGGGAAGTCCTCACTATTTTCCGCTGCGGGTGTTTTGCGAAATCGAGGATAAAAAGCGGATGTTCGGTGCTTTTACCGGGTTGGTGGATATGGAGGATCCACACAACAGAGTTGAGAAACCTTGATTGCAAACCAATGGTGAATATGAGCTCCAGAATTGTGAGGGAACAAATGACGTATGGACCAATTATTGGTAACCGGCTATCATGGGACTGCATCTCCTGACATTGCTACAGTCTTGTGGATTACACCTTCAAACCGAAGGCTCAGTCTGTGACCCCTTAAGAAAACCACCTGCTTCGGTTTCGGCACCCATGGAGTATCACAGCCCACACACAAACCATGTGACTTGTGTGGCGCAATGTATTCAGTGTTTCTTTGTATCAATATATGTGTCCAAATAAAATTCATAACCTAATGTTATGATGTTCAGATGTATAATTTTGCTTTTCATATGATCGCATTGAGTGGAACTAACAGACTAATAAATCAATCACACAGTCGAAAGAGTGAAAATTTCAAGAATTATTACCAAATATGTATTGTAGTCTTATTTTTATACAGTGATTCCAGCTAGACGTGCCTGTGTTTGTTTCCATTGTTCTAAGGGGCCATGAGGAGGAAGGTACTTCACACCAACACCGTCCGAAACTAGTTGTCCTTTGGCACGCATTTCGTTAAAACTAGTTCTAGGCCATTTTGTGAATCCCCAGTTACGTGACACGGCTATCTATTGATTTAGATACAAATACATCAAGACAAATAATAAGATTTATGTTAACATAAACTTAAGATCCTAATGATTTGGGTAGGATTCGGGATACAATGGTATATAAAATTCGAGGTTTTTGATCATACAACTGTCATAAGTTTGACAAGAATACGTAAGAGTTTGACTTGAATGTTTTTTGAGACTAAAGTGTAGGTCATGACATATTTATCAGTTACGGTGATATTGTTATGGAAGAGTTGGGAAGTACACAATCAGATGTGTCCTAGTACTAAGGTAACTGAATTGGAAGACGACTTAGCAGATTGGCCCAAGTATTTCAGTTGGGTAGCTCGATATGACCAAATTTGTACACAAGTGTAGATCGCAGCTGGAAAACGAAATAGTAAAACGTCACAACCAGCAACCCTTACGATATCTCACCCATTTACCAAAGTAAGCATTGGTACTATCAAGTCTATGGCTAGTCTACTTAGATGACAAAAATTAGCTTTTACATATAAAATACCTGATCCGCTACAAAATATTTGTCAAAAGTCATGGATTAGACATAAAACGAGTCACAAACTCAAATTGTCAATAATAAAGTGACTATAAAACGGATATCGGGTGTATATGCTTAGTACTTTGTTCATGAATGAAAAAAGTATACACCGAAGTAATGTATATTATCACCCAAGAATTACTGTCTAAAAAGCTAGTGAACTTGCACCAAACAAATACATTAACTACGAATAATAGTTTAGAAAGGTAAGCTTGTATCAAAATGGCCATAGTTCACGTAAGTGAACTTTGATTATTTGACTTTATTATTGCACATCGAACTAAACCGATGACAGCATCATCGGTCCTTGAAATGTGCATCATATAAAAAGAAGAAAATTACTAACAATACGATAATGGATACTCAAGTTTGTAAAATATTTGCCAACGATTTTTGAGAGCAAACTTATGGATGAACTACGGATACAGCAACTGTTTGCTTTTCTTAACGGAAATGTATATGTTAGGACAAGGCCCATACAAGCAATTCTGGGTCGGTATTTTTATTTCCATTCTGAAAGGTAACTACGACTTACTCGAACCACAAAACTGTATCAAAGCGGCCATAGTTCGTGTGAATAAACTTGACCATTTGATATCACTATCGCACATTAAAGCAAACCAACGAGCGTCGTCGATCCTTGAAATGTGCATCACATAAAACCTGAGAAAACCTTGCATTTCGTAATTTACCCACAGTATATAACAGCCTTTTAGAGGACAAGCTAGTCATAGGAGACTAGACACAACAAACATCCATTCGGTTGTCATCACACTACAGTAGCAAAAAAGGATGAATCCTAAGAGACTGATTGATAGAATCAGTGATAAGATTAGGCGATGATAGTGATCCTAATGAAACCTACAAGTCTTACGTGCAATTACGAATAAGAGGCAATGTTTGGACTTAAGGCTTTTAAATGGTCAATACGGTAATCTATTAAATTTTGATAATAGGAACGTATTGAAAGAATCGACAGTCGTCATTTAATGTCGAATGTTCACAATAAATCTACACACTCAGTATTCAAATACTTACTTTTTGCCGACCTGGGAATTTCATTTTGGCACGTCTGAGAGCTTCAACAACTTGAGCTTGATGTTGATCACGAGCACGAACTGACATTATAACTTGTCCAATATCAACGCGTGCAACTGTCCCCTGGGGTTTTCCGAATGCACCTCTCATACCTGTTTGCAAACTAAGCACAAATGTTAGGGATGAAGGAGTGAGTACCGATCAGCCCCAGCACACGAAAGCATTTTATTGATGCGGATCACATGAAATGGATGAACGCGTATCCGACCATGGAATGAATCTTTTCCACAATGCTTCAACAGATACTTGTTTGCACAAATACGAGCAGCTTCTAATGCTTCACTGGACAGCTGTTCGTATTCATCTGATATCATATGAACACATAGAGGAAATTCTTCAACGTCTGCTTTTTTCTTACCCAGATCAAAGATTCGAATCTTTGGGTCTGGGACACCACGACAAAATCTTGACTTAGGATAAGGTTTATTTTTGCAATATCGATAACTACTAAATGTAACCAGTAAAGGAAACTACATACCATCTAGCAGGTCTCCGGCCCATCTCGACACTCACGACTGAAGTCACGCAAATGCAAACCTAAACAAGGTTCAATGCACAATAGCTGAATAATGCATAAAGACAACATTCAATATACAGTCTTCGTTAATGAAGACAATAGGTCGATTGGATTATTTTAATATACGAAGCATTTTCAAGTGAAGATCGTATTTCGCCTTGAAAGCGTGCACAGACTGAGTTGATATCACTTGTCACAGCACATTCCAGTTGTTAACCGCTCTCTCTCTCTCTCCTCATTCAGATGTGACTTTTGGAGTTTCTTTCTACAGTTTTCATGGTCTAACATATTATGACAAGCTCTCATACCTCAAAAAACTTACGGTTACGTTGAGTTTAGGGCTCGTATAAATCCGGTTTCTGAATAACGGACGGCGATCCTGAAATTTTATGAAACCCGACAGTATCCCTAATCAAACCACACAGTGATATGTTTGTATACATGTGGCTAAAAGCCTTATCTCAACGTTGCTGAGTCAACGAACAGCATAGCCTTCATTGGTTACTACACTTTCGCGACAACTTCGAAACTACCCGATGTTTTGAAGCATATCGATCATGACCCAGAAACATACAGTAGTGTTGGAACAAAGACCTTATGATCATTTTGATTCCAGGATCGTATGTCTATTCAGTTTGACCTCTTGTACGCTGAGTTCATCGAAGTTCATATTATGAAACGGTTCTTGGCTCAAACTTCAGCGTCCTGGTGTGGGTATGTATTTTCCCGGGACCAAAAGGACTTTTTGTTGTGGACTATGAAAATCTCAAGTCTCAACGAACTTTCCGAGGGCAAACTTTCTTCATGATCTTCTGGTGTCATTGGTTTTATTACATGTATATTATTTCAAGAGCTAGTGACAGTAATTTCGATGGACGTCAGGGATCATTGTAAAAACTCTGTGGCCTAATGTACTGTCACATCTATAAAGGTTATTCTGGCCCTTGAACTGACGGATTAATTCTCTCTTTTTGAGTCATCCACACCAAGTTCAACCATGTCCATTATTCTCTCACAACCTTTAATGTGGTCATACGACCGTATGTGCGTTCATTCCATTGTTCGTTTCGTCTTTGGCTTACTTTTCTAACTACAAATAGTGAGCAGCGCTTTATCAAATCAAGTTGGCTATTCCTGCGCTTCTCCTATTGTTCGTCTGCAATACCGAATTTCCGAAGTATATGTTCCTCGAATACATTCGTAACTCCTCCTGTAGTTCTTCTAGGGTTACTGTTGGTCCAAAACCCGAGTAAAGGAGGAGTGTTGGGCATGGGGTCATCAATCCCGTCACGTGGAAAACAAACTTGCTAAATGTTATTTGCCGACGAGAATTATGAATGGTAACTCTTGAGCCACTTTTGGCTAGATATTGTACAAGTGTGTATTTCTTGTTTTATCGTGCGATGTGTTCGGTTTGATTTGTATATAAATCCAGTCTGTTTGAAACAAATGATTCATATCTCAGATGCTGAAATTGGTATTTTGGACTTAACAGGCAGGGCTAGACAGAAAGCAGGACCGATAAAGACTCTGAACTGCTCTTACGTGTTTCATGCGTCATTGGTCCGATCGATAATTCACTGTTCTCTAATTGGCGGTATCATTGCGTCATATATTAACAGGGCATAAGGCCACAAGTTATAACACTAAAAAACGTTAACCAGAATAAAATTCAAACGGCGTCATGAGAGTTGGAGGGTCTATGACACCTCGAGCTGAAAGCCGAAATTCTTTGGAAGTCATGAGGCCCACGCCCCTTCTGACAACCGGAGTAACAATCCATGTAAGTAAATGGAATGACTAATCAAGTAGCTACAGAAACGAGGAGATAAAAATCGACTGTTCTCACAACTAATTAAATCCACTGGAACTAAGCTGTTTAGAACAGCTTGGATTAGGGGGAGATTCTGGTGTAGTCTGGTCACGAAGAATAAAATGCTCCACACATGCAGAGAGGTTCTCTGATGCTCTCCGAAGTAGAAACAAGGTCACTCATAGGACGAGAAACTCATGGATCTAAAATCGTCAATACTTCTTTCAAAATGTGGAAAGAGGGAATCATAACGAACGTTATCCGGTGTCATTTATCCACCGATGATAGTAAAGAAGACAATATTGGTCAGTTCGATGGGGACTGCAGTCGATCGTAGGGAATGTCAAAGTCGGACTGAACAACATCGGGTATGAAGATATCATGGGACGACATGTACTGGGAGAAAGGAACAAAAATAGTCGGAGATCATTACATTAACGTGCCTTAAATAATATAGTTATAGTTGCACCATATTCCGCCTGAAATTCATACACAGAACTACCCGGGAAAACATCATTCCAAAGGTTTGATATAGCCTTCCTTAGAGAAACTGACAAACTCAGCGAATTGGAGACTGCTCTTAGCGATAGGCTCCAGGCCTCATAAGATCTGTTAAATAAAAAGAACCTATCATGGATAACTACTGAAAAAGGATCAGAGAAGCAGTGACTTCAACATGTCAGGAGGTCCTGCGCCTCAAGAAACACCATCACAAGGGATGGGTTTTCGTCGAAACCCCGTACAGGATTTAGCAAGGGGAGGACAATGAGACAGAACTTAACAGTCGAACAAGAACAGAAAATGTCAAGGTGAAAAATGAATACAACTCAGCAAACAAGCGAGTGAATCAAAGCATTAGAGCTGACAAGTAGAGATACTTGGAAGAGCTAGAAACGATAGCGGAAGAAGCCGCACGAGAGAAAATATGAAGCAACTACACGATATAACGAGACAACTGGTCGGGAGATATTGCAAACCAGGGAGACCAGTCAAGAGCAAAGAAATCAAGACAATCGCCGAGATACAAGAACAGAGGAATAGGTGGGCATGATTTTTTGAAGAACTGAATAGACCAGCTTCAGTAAGTCCACCGGACATCTATGCAGCACCTACAGACCTTCCCATCGATGTCACCACCAACGATTAAAAAATCAGGATGACCGGTTAACAAACAAAACAGAGATGGGAAAGCGGTAGGACCAGACAAAATGCTAACTGAAACACTGAAGTCAGACCTAAACGTAATTGCAAACTTGCCCCACATTCCATTTGGGATGGAGAACGAATGCCGACAGTCTAGGAAGAAGAATACTCATCAAAATACCAAAGAAAATAGGTCTACGCAGTGGTGAGAACTACAGAAGAATCACACTAATATTGGTATCTGAAAAGTTTTCGACAGAATGTCGCTAAACTGGATAAAAGATTCTGTAAACGTAAGTAGTAAGTAGCGTGCCCTTGAGCAATCAAATTATTTGGTAGGAGAACGAATGCCGACAGTCTAGGAAGAAGAATACTCATCAAAATACCAAAGAAAATAGGTCTACGCAGTGGTGAGAACTACAGAAGAATCACACTAATATTGGTATCTGAAAAGTTTTCGACAGAATGTCGCTAAACTGGATAAAAGATTCTGTAAACGTAAGTAGTAAGTAGCGTGCCCTTGAGCAATCAAATTATTTGGTAGGTAGTTAGTTAATAGAACTGCCTTCTTTTCCTAACGAGGACTCAGTTTTTAAATAAACGGTCAATTTCGTGTTCCTCACGTACTCAGAGGATTTTGGGTTTAATTGCAAAGGTTTTATCGAACAATTCTTCTTGCTCTATGACCGAGTGACACTATCCGTATAACTGACAATGATAATCATCATGATGAGAACCGTATCCGACATAACGATAGTGCTTTAATTTTACCCATGTGGAAGGAGGCTGTACAAAACCTAAACCACAAAGGTTCTAATATTTTAGAGGTTTTCACAAACCCAAAAACAACTTACTCTGGTTTGATAGCCGCCTTTATTATTGTAGCAAACACCTTCGATACAAAGTGAGCCTGTAGGAGCATTTTAAAATATCTGGATCATATGAGACCCTCCTTATTACGACTAATATGCCTCTTCGTCGTCTGGACTCATCAACTAAAGACTGCCGCAACGGTATGTTGAAGTCAACTTTGTAGTTTGACAACGAGTTAACCAGTAACACCTATTATGAATCATACAAACCTAGTGAAATCAAAAGTCAAAAGCGAGGAGGTTCGAAGATATATTTGATAGGCTGTCAATATGACGAGGATCGACTGGTCTAGACTCGCTAGCGATTGCAAGGGATGTTGAACACGATGTTCCCACTCGTGATCTGATGCGGATGCATGACTAAGACCCTTCAGCTAGGTAAGTGCACTAAAACTAATGTGGTCAGCATCCAATATCAAAGATTTATAGAACCATTTATTTTGTAGATTTATTTGCTACTACAACAACTAACCAACGACGAGAAGCAAGAGTCAGTAATTGTTTGTGATGACAGGGCAGTAACATCTAAAAATTATCCCTCAGTCTGAACATGTCCTTCCCTAGAAATTTTGCCACCAAACGTAGCGAGGGCTAATAAATGCCATCACGAGAATGTTTTTGAGGCCGTGTCGTTGGAACAAACAGAGGTGGTAACTCACGGAATAACTTCATCAATAAATCAACTGCGTTATTCTATCCATAAGACAGAATTTGTTCACCAACGATTTCTAAGAAAAAGAAAACCCCATCTCCTATGACAGAGTAAGTCAGGGCAGATAGGACTATGAATCATGTATAAAATTTTACATATCAAACGGCCGCGTCATCGCCAACAACACATATTAGGATGGGGCGACTGATCTGGAGACAGGAATAAGTTAATTAATAGTTATGAAATTCCTGAATCAATCGGACACGTATATATTTGCAATTTTCTTGTTGTTACATTTGAATTCGCGACTTGGGTTTGATCAATCGATCGATCACTAACTTCTAGTCAGATAATGATGAAATCGAAATTTCAGGACTCAAAGTTTTGCTTATACTTTGCAAGTCTAACAAATACTGTTCTATTTAACAATTATAATAATATATCGCATAACAAACCCTTAATATTCGGGTTTTCATGGTGAGAACAAAAGCTCAGCAT